CTCTTTTATTTAAATCTAATGTGTCCCCCACTCCCACCATAAGCACTTGGGCACTGAATGCTGATTCATTAAAATATTATGTTGTTAAAGATGAAGGGCTTGGCGCTGCTTTCACTCACATCAACGTAAGCCTGGAATAATCAAGATCAAAGCCTGGTCCAAAGAACTTTATAGACTGAGACAACACGCTAGATTTCACTTATAGCATTAGCCATGCCCAACCTCACAGAGTGCCACCGTAGGATTACGACTCAATCTGAACATCTTGCTGCTGGTAAGTAGTGAGTGAAGGTGTGGATTTAGATCCACAGAAAGTAAAGCCATATACAGAGGGGCATCTGTATTTTTCTAATCAGTTTTCAGCCAGCTGTGTGGCCAAATTAAGACTTGTCTTTGCCTCTGTTGAGAAGTATTGGTAGGCTTCCTTCTTCATCCACAGCTCACCTTGGCTATGTCTACACTGCAGCTGGGACTGAGCCTCCCAGCCCAGGCAGACAGACTCACACTAGAGAGGCTCAAGCTAGCACACTACATAGAGCAGCGTGGCTGTTGCAGTCTCCGAGTGGAGACTCGGGCTAGTCATCTGAGCTCAGACCCTGGGGGTTAGGTAGCCTTGAGGCAGGAACACCAGAAGCTCCTGAGAAGGGGACCCCTCCCCGCTCCACCTCTTTCCCCGGACCTCTGCCCCTACCCTGCCTCTTCCCCCGGGTCCCGCATGCCGCTTGTTCCTCTCTGCCCCGTCCCCCTCTCTCGCTCTCCCTTAAGACTATGCCCTCTCACTTTTAAAAGTGATGGGGCCATGGCCCCCTGGCTCCTCTGTTCTGGCGCCCCTGACTTGAGGGCTCCAGCCACTGCCCGACCTACCACCCGAAGTGCAATGTCCACACTGCTATTTTTATCATGCTAGTTCCTGCTAGTGTGAGTCTGTCTACAGGGCTGGAAGGCTCCTCAGGTTAGAGCCTGATCCTACAAATCCTTCCTCACACGTGCAGTCCTTGCTCGTAGCGAAACGTGAGTAGTCAGAGCGTAGTCTTTCCCAGTAGGGCCACTCCTGCGAGTCAGAGGCTGCAGGAGCAGGCATGTCAATCACAGCTCAGACACCCTCCATGTCTGACTGTTTCCTGAGTAGCCCTCTGCTCCCTAGCAAAGAGAGGTGGGTAGATACTGTAGCAAATCAATGTGAGTAATGAACACCCGACCTGGATTCCTGTGGGCTGCCAGATGACTGAAAGCTGTTTTCCTGTCCTAGCCCATCTCTAAAGGGGCACTTGCCTCAGGCCACTCATGTACCTGTATTGAAAGCGTCTCCCAGTTTCACCAGGAACAATGGATTGTTGCCTTACTGTTCTTGATGTTGCTAGGACAGTTTAATAAGCTGGCATGTAAAACACCCAAAGCACGTGGACTCACCTGAGAGGATGCTATGGAGTGCATTTGTAGACAGGGTTCCAGGTGTGTTTTAAAGCACAGCGTTGTCTAATTTTGCTCAGAGTAAGTACAGACAACACAGTGGATGAAACAGTGCCAGCATCTGGCCTGTGTTAGGCTCTCCCCAGGAAAGCCTGATATGCAGCAAACAGAGCTAGACTAACGGGGCTTGGAAACAGCTGCAGACGTGGCCACAGGCCCTAAAGTGGACAGTTTGCTCTTCTAGCTACAGACTATCCTATAGTCTCAATTGCACCGGTATCAAGTAATTTTTGTGTATGCTGGTAGGAGGACTGGATTTCAGACCACTTTCCTCATCTGTATCACAAGAGATGCGAAGGCAGGAAAATGAACATAACTAATGTTCTGCACAGAATCTTTCAAGAAGCTGTAAATAGATTGTTGGTTTCAGTCCAGCAATGCAAGAGAGAAAATCAGCAGCAGTTTCTTCTCGCACAGTCACAGAGCAGAATGATGCCGACCATTCCCACAGCAGTTAATGCATAGGGGTGAGCTGAGTTAGGAAGCTGCAGCCTTGCAATGGGGCAATGCAGAGCTGGACCACTCCAGTGGGGACTCTGGGAGACATGCTTCAAGGGTGTTACCCGGCCTGTAAGAGGACGGAGACTGTTGAACCATTCAGTAAGGAGTGCTCCACTCCATAGCCAGCTTGTCCATGGGGAAAAGGAGTGGCTGGGAAGTCGACAGGGAAGGCTCTTGTGCCCTTTCTTCTCCATATGCACCTGAGCGGCCGGACACTATCTGATCCCTTGCTTGGTGTCAACAAACACCATTCTTAGAAGAGCCCTGTCCCTTCCTTAGGTACAGTGCAACCTGTCTGAAGGGACCACCCCAGGGGCGAACAAAAGCTTGGCTATCCACCAAGACGTGTCTTTAACCAAAGGTCAATCAAAACTGCACGAGACACCTCGGGGATGATTATGTAAGTATTATAGTCACTACTTGTGAACAGGGAAATTGGGTCAAAGAGACTCAGTGGCTTGCCTGGGGGGCGGGGGCGCTGTGCTCTTGTCGATTCAGCATGGGAATGGCAGGCAGGCGGCACCAGATTGTGTCACTGTTGGGCTGTGCGTCCTTGGACAAGTCACTTCACTTTCTCCAAACCTCGGTTGGGATGCAATCACATTTACATAACTCCCCGGGGGGACTAGGAGGCCTTATTAAATACTAGGCCTTGTCTTCCAAACTTATTTGTGAAAGTAGCTCTTCATCACAGGGGAAATCCCATTGACGTTAATGGGACTCACTCACACGAGCAGCATTTACAAGGTCTGGCTCAACATCTGTTGCATGCAAGCAAAGCATTAAGGCCAGGCAGAGGCAGGAACAGATCCTGGCAGGTTCTGAGTGCCCAGCCCTGTAATCAAGGCTCTGGGCCATGCTCCCTCTAGGGAGCGGCAGAAAATTTGGGCAAAAAAGTAGCAAATTGTAGAAAGATCTTGAATTTGTAAAGAAGCACTTTTTTCCCCATTGAAATGGGGACAACCTTTTTGAGATGACTGAGCTGCAGTGTTCCAGCCTGAATTCTGTTATTTTTCCTATGAATACAATGGCTACAAGTCTAGGTTCTTGGGAGATGTTTTCTTAATCAGTCCTTAGAAACGTTACCCTTCGGGATGAATGGGACTCCAATTGTGCCCCGGGGGCAGGCTGTTTGTTTTATGGTTTGGTGTCACACCAGACTCTTCTGAGAAGGAGCAGACTTTTTTGAGGAATAGGAACAGTAACAAGATGAGGTTGTTTTCCATTTTACAGCATTATTGTTCTAAAGGAGTCATTTCTCTAACTGTCAGTACCGGGATCTGATACCAAAAATCATTTCAGACCAAAATCAAGATCTGCTAACACTTTGCAAATGAACAATTCTCTAGTGCTAGGCCAAGACAGACTCAAGCTGGTGCTTCCAAAATCCTACACCTGGGATTGGGTATTTTAGAACAGGGGGTGGGGAGAAAAAGACACACAGATTCTAGTACACCACAAGAGCAATCAGTTAGGGATCCCATATACTCTCTTCCTCTCCATGGAAGATTTATTTGAAAAGAAAATTAAGAGAACTTTTCTTAACAGCTATAGCAACAGGATTAAGAATCCAGTAAAAGTAGTATCACGCACATGGGTTCGATCGCGGAGTTACTGGGAGGTATTTTCTGGTCTGCTTTAGGCAGGAAGTCAGATTCTATATTCAATATGGGTCCTTCCGTGAATCCTTCAATCATTTCCCCCACTCTCAGCAGGGAAGCAGAGCCAAGACCCCGGCTTGAGAACAAAGGGAAAGATGACAGGTGGCAGGGTTCAGAGTTGCCCTCTGCAGACAGGCAGAGCCCTCACCTTGGACTGACAAAGGGACAGAGAGACAGAGCCTAGAATAGAATCTATAGCAGCTTGGCTGGCTGACTGCACTGGCGTGGCCAGATGGACTACATCTTAACCTTTCTCTGTGCTAACCCAAGGACTTCCGATGCTGTGTTCCAGTTGACTAATAACCCCTACTCTGTTTTTTAAAGGCTGCCAGGTGTCACTGCATATACTTGCTGAGGTGCATGGGTCCCTGAAGGATGCACAAGTCCCTGACCAGGAGTCTCTCTCAGTTGGACTCACTGGGCAGAGCTCCCGGCATGAAACAAGAGTGCTGGAGCCTAGAGGCTCAGTCTCGGAGGCATTGAGACCATGTAGCCCAACCTTAAGTACAGGTATGACCCCTTGGGGGGAGGGGAAGGTCTGCCACTCAGAAGGGGTTCCTCCAAGGGACCGTTTAAAAGCTGGGGCAGAGCACACATCTTGTCGATCCATGACAGAGTGACAAAGTGGTGCTGTCATTTGCCGATTGGCCAACACTATGACCTCGTTCCTGGAAGTACTGCCTTCCAGGGGCCCAATCCTGCAAAGTGCTGGCTTCAATTGGTGTCAAGGGCACACTGGATTTTGCAGGATCAGGCCCTAGAGATGGGTCTAATCAGACAAGCAACATAAACCGATTTTCTCCCCTCCCTCCAAATGCTGGAGCAGGGTAATTCTGGACATACTATGGCACCTTTGTCATGTTGGATTCCACCACCCTAAGCATTTACCCACATAGTACTGTGTAGAATCTCTCTTTTATTGTCCTATCCTGGAAGATTATGTCTTGGGGATATGATGCTAGCTTTGGCACTACGGAAAAGAGCATCTTAGTATTACAAATAACAACATAGCATCTAGTATATCAGATGGTAGGGCCACGTTTTCATGCAGAAGGGTTATTTAAAAAGGTGGGGGAGAGTCTAAAAACCATAATTAAAAATTGACATTTTTATAGCCTTAGAAAGTTGGAAGGGTCTAGGGAATGAGCAATCTATTGACTCTTCCCTGTCCCATCCAACTGTAGTTATTAAATAAAATCTCATGCGTAGTACTAGCCTACCATATAAATCCAGAGGACTGGAACTTCTCAAGGCCCTTTATAACTGAAACCAAAACCAAACCAAACCCTGAAAACTAAAATATTACAGAGGCTGCAGTTGCACAAACAAATAAATGCTGTTTACCAGTGAAAATATGTAGTTACTTACTGACAGTCAGGAAATGTTGGCTTGTAATAAAATGGTGGTATTTTAGCTTCATATCTTGCTTTTGCTACGTTGTTTCCATTTGCGGCCATAAACTGTAAGGGGGGGGTGTGGAAAAAAAAAGAGAAAAAAATTAAGCAATTTTAGCTCTGGTTCCTTCACCCGTCTCTGGTTCTACAGAGTAGTAACAGTACCCAGTTCTGCACACACATATGACAACACTCCATTGGGGCTTCTTATGGAAGATCTTGTAGTAGTGTGTCTGCAGGATAGCACCCATAGATTGCACTTCTATAGCATTTTACATCAGAGGATTGAAAAGCAACTTGTAGATGTTCCATTCGTTTCACTCTCTGTTGTCAGGTTGTATCATTATGTCCATTTTACTGATAGGGAAAGAGAGGCACAGAAGATAAAGAGCTACTTTCTCGACACCAACGGACGTACATCTGGTATGGAATGGCCCAGAGCAGTCTGTTTCTCATATACAGCAGAAGCGCCCTCAAGTCACCCAAGTACAGCTGCTATTTAAGTGGGTTTCCATCTCTCTTAGCAGCTGTTGTCAACATGATGCATCATTCATCAGACAGGTGACTACATAGGCTGCTACAAACTTGGGAACAACCTCTTCCATCAAGATTGGACATTTCATCCCCTTAACGTCCCTGGGGCCAAATTCTGCCCTTGGTCACCTGTGTGATCCCCACTGGTTTCAATGGTAGGTCAATGCATGTAACTAAGGGCAGGTCTCTCCCATTTCACATTGGCGGATTCTCCAAGCCAAATTCTGCCTTCATTTGGGCATGTTCAAGGGCAGAATCCGGCACTGAATCTGCTCCCTAACGTTTCTACCCTAGCCAGATGACACAGTCAGAAAAAGATCCTCTGATTTTATTATTTTTTTAAAGAACTCTGTGCCTACTTTTGCTCCTTGGGAAAGATTAAGTGATCAGCATAAAAATGAAGGGTGACGCTTCTGTGCAAAGCCACTCCAGTCACCTAAGCCCCCTGTGGCTGATGGTGCATGAGGATGTGCTGGACTCAGCAATTAGTTTGTGTCTTAATCCAATTCCGGCCCCATTGTTATACAAGGAAGCAGAATTTAAGAGCTATATTGACAAGAGCCCTTGCAATTCTCACCAGCGAATGATTACCCTGACCAGCCTCTAGGTCTCACTATGCTCACTCCCCATAGGTACATGCCTTTGCGGAGTGCGATTCCTGGTGCTATACAGCAGAGAGAAGGAGAAGCAGCTGTTCCCCTGCCTCTGACACTCAGTGGCATAAATGTAATTTGCACTCATAGCAGTTTGCAGGCAAAATGTAGTTGATCAACACATCACCCTTATTTCACATTCAGGGAAAATGAGGATCAGAGAGGTTATGGCCCCATTGACCCAAGTCAATGAGAATTTTTCCATTGACTTCAAAGAGCCAGGATTTCATGCAATATTTTCATAAGTGGCCTCCAAGTTTGGGTGACCAGCTCAAGACGCCTTGTGCGTGATATTCAGTGGTACTGAGCACCCACAACTCATATTGAAGTCAACGGAGGTATGGATGCTCATCACCCCTGAAAAAAATCACACCCAACATGCCTCAAACTGGTCCCTGGAATGGAAGAATCAAAGAGTCAGTGCCCACTTTTGAAACCCTAGGCTTACATGACTTGTCCAAAGTTTTACCCGAAATCAGCATCACAAGGAAGGCTAGAACCTTGGTCTCCTGGAGAAGAAACTACAGGAAGTAGGTTGACAGTTTAGTTTCAAAGTGCCTTTAAACCTTCATCCTACAACTACCTCAGAAACGACAACATTGGAACATGGACTTGTTAATTAGTCTGTCATGGCAGCATCTGTCCTCATTCCCTTCTGATCTAGGATTGAAATTGCTAAGCTGAAAACTCTGCAGTGATAGGCACGTACCTGCTCACAAAATTCAGTACAAATTCAATGATAAACATAAACATAGAGAGGTTTCAGAGTAGCAGCCGTGTTAGTCTGTATCCGCAAAAAGAACAGGAGTACTTGTGGCACCTTAGAGACTAACAAATTTAGTCCGAAGAAGTGGGCTGTAGCCCATGAAAGCTTATGCTCAAATAAATGTGTTAGTCTCTAAGGTGCCACAAGTACTCCTGTTCTTTTTATAAACATAGAGAAAGACTCTGCTCTCTATGAAGCTGTATTTCCTCCCAGAGAGTCTTATGCATTCAAAAAACATGAGTAAAACCCCCAAAATCATGACATTTGCATAAAAATCACAAGTCTCTAAAAATAATAAGGTTAGGGTTCTTTTATATGGTTTGAAGCTTTGGGGTTCCTGTTGTGACGTTGTGCAGTCTATATGGTTTTATAAAAACATGATAATAAGTGAATATAATGTAACTGGGATAGTTTTATAAAGATTTAATAATAAGTGAATATAATGCAACTGGGATATGCTTCGTGCAAAAGGTCTCTTGTAAGGTATCATTACAAAGCTCATAATCTACTGAGTGTGATCATCCTATTTGTAGAAATGTACCACTCCTGTGTCTAAAACTAGAAATATAAAACATAACTCTGAGGGCCTATTGTAATTATGTAAACTGTGGGCCATTAATGATGGTTTGGAATCTTGATGACTCCCATTAACCAGGACCATTGTCTGCAGATGGCTGTGTTTACCTGTTAGTCTTCCTGTATATGTGTGTGCTGGCAAGTGGGCAATGAAGACTTGCAGTGACATGTGATCATGTCACCTGAACTGGAATCCATCTTTAACCTGGTGCTTTTCCCCGTGAGGGGGGTGGAAACCCAGAGGGACAAAGGGTTCCCGCCTTATGCAAAAGATATATAAAGGGGTGAAAGAGAACAAAGGGAGAAGGGAGCCATCATAAAGAATCCCCTAGCTATCACCTGAGCTGGAACAAGAGCTGTACCAGGGAAAAGAATTGTGCCCAGGCCTGAAAGGTGTCCAGTCTGAGAAAAACTTACTGAAGCATCTCTGAGGGTGAGATTATCTGTATTTAGCTTGATTAGACATAGATTTGCGCATTTTATTTTATTTTGCTTGGTGACTTACTTTGTTCTGTCTGTTACTACTTGGAACCACTTAAATCCTATTTTCTGTATTTAATAAAATCACTTTTTATTTAGTAATTTACTCAGAGTATGTATTAATACCTGGGGGAGCAAACAACTGTGCATATCTCTCTATCAGAGTTATAGAGGGCGAACAATTTATGAGTTTGCCCTGCATAAGCTTTATGCAGGGTAAAACGAATTTATTTGGGTTTAGACCCCATTGGGAGTTGGGCATCTGAGTGCTAAAGACAAGAACACTTCTGTGAGCTGTTTTCAGGTAAACTTGCAGCTTTGGGACAAGTGATTCAGACCCTGGGTCTGTGTTGGAGCAGACGGGAGTGTCTGGCTCAGCAAGACAGGGTGCTGAAGTCCTGAGCTGGCAGGGAAAACAGGAGCAGAGGTAGTCTTTGCACATCAGGTGGCAGCTCCCAAGGGGGTTTCTGTGATCCAACCCATCACACCTGTATTCTAACTTTTCTCTATAGCCATGAAGGCTGGAAACTTTTTTTAAATGAAAGCTCATTTTCTCATGTATATCACATGACTCCAGAAGCTGGGGCTTTAAAAAAAACACCAATCATAGGACTCATGATGAAATTGAGAGTTAGTAGCACTGCTCATGCCTTGGAGTACAATATATGTGAGAGCCTACAGGTTTTCTAGTTAGATTTATTAATTATTATTATAACACCACAGCCAGCTAGCGAGGTGTTTTTCATACAAAGAAGAGTTAAGGTCTCTGTTACAGAGAGCGCAACGTAAGAGCCCAATTCTGCATGATGGGATTCGAGGGCTTTCAGGCCCAAATAGCCAACATACTGGAGGTGACAGAATGCAACTAAAATTACATGAGTTAGCATCAGGACTGGTTAAAAGTTTTTGAAATTTGCAATTCTCTCACACACACAAAAAAGTCAAGATTTCTATGGGAGAAAATAAAATGTGCCCAACGTCGCTGCTTATTTGAGGTTGTCAAAAATGGGATCACATTTTTTGTGACTTGTTAAAAAATAATGTATACCTCAACTTGAACATCATCCCACGAATCTAAACGGACTGATTTCACTTTGCTGACTTGTGGGATATTGCGATGGATTCCTGAACAATTTAAACAGATAAACACTCCTAGGGTATGTGATGCCCAGTCTGGATCTGAAAGACAAAAGAAAATAGTATTGCTTTAGTACAGCTTATTGGAGTACAGAATTTAGTGAGGAGAAGAGTGGACTAAAAGACAGTGGAATTTGGAGATCCCCCAGAGCCCAGAAGGGCTTTATGAGAGACAGAGCCTGATTTTGAAGGCATTTGATGTGCAAATGTACATGCAAAAGGCAGACAAGTTTGTGTGTCTAATTTACATTCAAAATGACCATGCAAAGGGCTCATTTATGCACACAGTTACTGGATTTGCATGCACAGTCATAGTGAACCCAACCGCTGTAAAGTTCATCTCTCTTCATTGTCAGCATTTGTTCATGAAACGAAGAGAAGAAATTCTAACTTTTATGATAAAACCTATGTCTCACTAAGGTGCTCAGGCACTGCAGAAAACAATTATAATTATAGTAGACACATCACAATAATAATAATAAAAAAATCCCCACACTATTGTGCCAAGAAAAAGCCAGACAAAGAGACATCATCAAGGGGCTGGGTTAGATGCAGGGCCGGCTCCAGGCACCAGCTTGGCAAGCTGGTGCATGGGGCGGCCACTCCGGAGAGGGGCGGCAGGTCCAGCTATTCGGCGGCAATTCGGCGGATGGTCCCTCACTCCCGCTCGGAGCGAAGGACCTTACACCGAATTGCCGCTGCAGATTGCGATCGCGGCTTTTTTTTTTTTTTTGACAGCTCGTGGCGGCCCTTACCCTGGAGGCGGCCCGGGTTAGATGACCTCTTGAGGTCTCTTCCAGCCCTACATTTCTGTGATTAGAATAAAGGAATTCTACACAGGGCCCCAAAGTAACCAAGGTAGAAAAGTTTCAGAGTAGCAGCCGTGTTAGTCTGTATCCGCAAAAAGAACAGGAGTACTTGTGGCACCTTAGAGACTAACAAATTTATTTGAGCATAAGCTTTCGTGGACTACAGCCCACTTCTTCGGATGCATAGAATGGAACATATATTGAGGAGATATATATACACATACAGAGAGCATGAACAGGTGGGAGTTGTCTTACCAACTCTGAGAGGCCAATTAAGTAAGAGAAAAAAAAAACTTTTGAAGTGATAATCAAGATAGCCCAGTACAGACAGTTTGATAAGAAGAGTGAGAATACTTACATGGGGAGATAGATTCAATATGGCTCAGCCATTACAAACATTGAATCTATCTCCCCATGTAAGTATTCTCACTCTTCTTATCAAACTGTCTGTACTGGGCTATCTTGATTATCACTTCAAAAGTTTTTTTTTCCTCTTACTTAATTGGCCTCTCAGAGTTGGTAAGACAACTGCCACCTGTTCATGCTCTCTGTATGTGTATATATATCTCCTCAATATATGTTCCATTCTATGCATCCGAAGAAGTGGGCTGTAGCCCACGAAAGCTTATGCTCAAATAAATGTGTTAGTCTCTAAGGTGCCACAAGTACTCCTGTTCTTTTTTCAAGATAGAAAAGGCATCTGAACCAGAAGGGTTTTCAGGCTTTGCTTGAGCAGAAGATGAATGCTTGAGCTACAGCTCTGAATTTCTGCTGAGCCAAGCCCCACTGTTTACAGTGCTGGCCTCTGAGCTGACCAATAGCAAGGGCACTTTAAATTTGATTCCACTCTCACTGAATCCCTGTTTTGTTCCTTAGCACCACAAATGAGAGACGTCACAGTCTACTGATAAACGCAGGGTTAAAGTAATTGAAGGAGATTAACAGAGAAAAATAGCAGGCGTTACAGCAGGACACACACGCCAATGTCTCTTGCACTGCGTCACTGCTAATGCCAATGCAATGATCTCTGTTTGAACGCCCAGTAATAAATGTCAGCACTTGCTATTCCAACTCAAATGCAAATTGCCTCCTTGAAGCAGCTGAGCTTCCTTCTCAACCGTCCCCCGGCCCTAGTCAGCAGGAGCAGTGAGGCACTCTGCACCTCACAGGATCAGGCTGTTAATGAATATGGGGAACTAGCATTTTCTTGAAAACTGTCATAACTTGTTTATTCTCTTGCAGTAATTATGCTAAACATTACTCTATACAGAGCAGTAATTATTTATAAAAGGCAAGGGAATGTGCTTTTTCTCCGTATGCATATTTAATGGCCCCCTTGTATTGCAATTAGTGCAACTGAACAACAGGAATTGGGTTAGGAGGGGTTGGTCAAAGAAACTCAACTGTAGGTAGTCTCTGTGGTTCTCCCATGTTAGCTTGGAGCTGCTCCTTGGGATCCACTGTTAGAGTCTGTCTTAAGGAGAGGACCATGAGCTGCTTCCCCGGGCACACCCCAAAAGAGGAATATGGGTTATCCACATCAACCTGCAGTTTTGTTGTTCTGATTTAAAACCAATTAAGCAAAATGAATTGCCTGGTCAAACTCATTTTATGACCACTATACCCCATTTTATTCTACAAGTTCTGTCACATCTGCACAGGAGGAGAAATCCTATTCCCAGGGAGAAATCCTATTCCCGAGAACCAGCGACAATTCTACTGTCACAGGGTTGGAATCCAGCTTCCAGACCCTATGGGCTCCTTTCATTCTGTGGAGTCTACCATCCTACGGGACACAACCAAGGCTCAAGCCTGGAATATATCCATGATCCTGTGAAATGCTGAGCACATCTTGTCCGTTACCAAGCACCCTCCAGCCCTATCAAGATCCGTGGCAGTTGCGAGTGTTCAGCACTTTGCAGCATCAGGCCCTAAGAGAGGAACACAATTTTCATAAGCCAGCACCACCAGCCTGGTTCTCCTCCCACTTACATCTGTGTTACTCTATTGAGTTAGGTGGAGTGACTCAGATTGACACCAATGAAATTCAGAGGACATGCAGGTCCCATATATTTCCACCACAAAGGTACCGAAGATCGCTATCAGGGGCTAGATCAGTGGTTTTCAATCTGTGCTCTGCAGACCCTTGCGGTCCACAGACTATGACTAAATTTCAAAGGGATCCACACCTCCATTCAAAATTTTATAGGGGTCTGCAAATGAAAAAAGGTTGAAAACCACTGGGCTAGATTATAGGCGTACCCGGATGGTGATTAAAATATTTGACAGGCCTGTACACAAACACACACTTTAATTTTTTGCATCGGGTGATCTCAGAACATACCAGTAGAATCAAATCCTGTTCTAAGGTACCTCCTAGAATCTGTGTGCTTCAAAGAGTGAGTGAGTCCAAAGTGCAACAATAGCTCACATGCAGCCTTGGCCTTCAGAACCTGCTGAGGAATGCTGGGCAAGGTCAAAGCATCAAGGACTCAAAAAGTAGCAGGTCTTTCACTTCTACCTGCACAGCTTGAAGGAAGGACGGACATCAGCTTAATATCACAACAGAAGGGTGGCATCTCTAACCTGTCCCTCTAATACAGCAGCCAGCGTATTAGCCCTAGTCAGATCCATAACCTTATGGTGAGTGGTGCTTACTACTCCCATCTCAAACAGCAGAGAGAATCTTACTGTGTGCGTCTCTTTAAAATTACCTCCTGCATTGGGCGTGGATATGATCATGATGAAACCTTATTCTCACTCCAGCCCCACACAGGTAGGGTCTATATTTCTTGTTGACTTTGGTTTGGGGAGGAATTAACAAGTTGTATAGAGACGCTGACCACTTTTGTAACCACAGACAGCCATCACCAATCACACCCGGGAGTCATGGCGCATAAAAATTAAGTGTGGCACGTCCGACAGGCATAGCTACAAAGGTGCAAGTGGTGCAGTCGCACCAGTGCCCATGAGGTTTGTGGGGCCCACTCAACCTTCGGCCCCGTTGTAGTAAGGCCACAGTCTACCTATGGGCAGACGAGGCTCCAAGGACAGAGCAGGACGTGGCGTCCTGCCAGGGAAACGCTTCCGCGCCCACCCCAGGTACTCCTCATCCCCAGCATGAGTAAGATCAAGGTCACAGCTCCTCAGACATCGAGTGGCTTGGAGCTGCTCCTGGCAGCACCACCAGTGTGCTGCTACCTGGGGCTTCAGCCACAATTATAGCAACCCACCCGACTCCAAGTCAGCGCCCTGCCCACCTGCTGGTCCGTGTCCAATCCCCACACAGGTCTGCTGCCCAGGAAGACCCTAGCCCCTGCCCCGGCCGCTGCTGCCTGGACTCACACATTGAGGCAGTGAGGAGCTCATCTGGAAAAGTGCAGCAGGTGGACCGGGCGGTGTGGGTGTTGCTGGGGGCTGACCAGCGGGTGCAGGCTGAGCTGGGCTGGGGGTGCAGGGTAGGGATGTGGAGAGCAGGGGACCAAAGAGGGATCCCCAGGTCCAACTGTGGTTGAGCTGAATGGCTCCAGGGAAAAGGTTGTCGGGGGCGGGGCCATCTTCCAGGGCAGCCCGTGTCTGGGGCGACAATCAATTTCTCTGATATCTCCTACTGGGATGTGCTGTGACACATATCAGTATCGGTGTCTCTTGTTCTGATGGCAGTGTGTGTGTGTTAGAAATCAGCCCCTGCCCATCCCCCACCATTGTCTCTGTCTTGAGGCTGCAACCCTCTCGCCCACAAACCACTGCCCCACGGCTGCTGCCTTGCTGCAGCCCAGGTGCTTGAGAGGGAACTAGCCCTACCCAGGATGTGCAAGGCACTTACACCCCGCATGTGAGCAGTCTGCAGAACAACCTGCCACAGGACATTGCCTGGCAACAAGGACACCAGCTTGTGACACAAGAACTGCCCTGCCCAGCAACCAGGCCAATATCCTGCCTCCAGCTGGGGTTGATGCTTCAAGAAACCCGAGCAAATGGGAACCCATCCATTGGGAAAGGTGCTTCCAGCCCCCGCCCCACTTATTGCTTTGTTTGTGCCCAGAAGCATGAGGGTTGATAGACAAACTCTTGGAAGACTACAAGGAGAAACTGACTGGGATGGCTCTTCCAGCTATTTTGAAATAAAAATCACTTTATTCCAGAACAGGTATTCCAGTCAATTTCCTCAGGTAGACAAATTCTTCATTTTTTAAATCCTACTGACAATAGCTGTGAATCTTCTAGTTATCC